TGACTCTTAGATTGAGCAATCTGCCTGATCGTATCTTCTGCTCGCATTCAATAACATATGCTTATCAGATATTAAATAGCAATTATCGACCTTATGCTCATACCACTTGAGTTCTCGATTCTGATTCTGATGTATCGCTTCTATTTTGTCTCTTCAAAACAATGTTCTGACATGTCCGAGGCATCAGGCATCTTCAATCCCCCCCCTGCAGAGACCTATGACGTGTGAGGAGGCTTTAATGCCACCTCCCGCCCTCCTTTTCTTTTCACCTGCATCACTTTTCGCCTTTGGCTCACTCCTTGCTGTATGCAATTATGACCCAAGGGAGGTTTCAATAGAATAACATTAAGGTCTTTTTGGACTCAGTGACAGCAGTTATTCTTTAGCATCATAGGAACTAGGTAGCATCTAAGAATTTTATTCATTTTCAGAATTTGAAATTTCTCTCCTAATGCAATGCAAGGAATGGTCACGATTTGGGTGCAATAGTGACATGTCAGAAATTGTTTTCTCTGGTTTCATACGGATATTCATAATCAATGCAGTAAGAATGTTAACTAGACTGGTTTACTTCGTTTGTTCCTTCATATGAAATGCACAGTCTATCCCATTCTACTTTTCCAAGAAACACGGTAGGATACTTCATATAGTCCTCAGGATTTCATGCACAAAAAAAAAAAAAAAAAAAAACAGTTGTTAAAGCACTTAGCAATTCAAGTTGGGATAACTCTCATCCTCATTGCTCTTCATTAAAAGGACAGGAGTTTTCCAAACCATTACAGTTTAAACGTGCAAATAATCCGTCATTACTAACATCCACATGCGGTAATCTATAGACTTGAAAAAAATGTAGACAAATTTATTTTCAGAATAAAACGAATGTTACAAAAAGTGCGTGGACGAGTTATTGAATAACCCTTCCGCAGTGTTACGATTACCAAAATTCACATGATCATTTTTATCAAGCGTTTTCTAAACACTATTTGAAAAAACAAAGTTCTCCCTCTGTGTGTGTGCATGTTGCTCTACTCGTAATGATTTTTGGCCAGAACTCAAGAAAATAAAAATACAATAAAATAGAAAAATATCAATTCTGGACTCATCTCTAAATCACCCATTCTTGAGTCTTCCTTTCGTCCTGAGTCACTTGTGATCTTCCTAAAATATTAGTACTCAAGGACAATATCAAATAAACTAATATTCAATAAAAAGTTGTTTCAAAACAATCATTATTTGGCATCATCAAAATCTCAAACTCGGGGTCATGGGTTGCAACACCTCTTGGTTAGCCGCTGGGATATAAGCTTAGGTTTAACAACCTAATTCATATTGAACACGTTTCAATAAGGTTTAGTTGAGGAAGAATAAATATGACACCAGAAATTATTGATTCGCTAATGCTATTAAATTTTACACTTTTGGGTTATGATGTTAATCATAATTGGACTAAGAGGAATATTTTGTGGGATCTACTTTACTAGAGGACCAAATATAACAAAATCTAGATGTGATGTATATAAAAAAGAACTTCAATAATACACTCAACACTATGATGAATATAAATTGTTAAAAAAAGTTAATTTGAAAGCAATGATGAATTTAATGAAAAAGAAGAAGTTATTTAGAGCTCCAAGAAGTAGCTAGCGGAAAAGTATTAATCGAAAGTCACTTCCCATGTCAGATCAAAGAAGAACAATGCGTGAATGGGTTCAAACATTGAAAATGCAAAATGAGTACACCTCAAATTTAAGTAGATACATCGATATCAGATCCAAAAGGTTATTTAGAATGAGAAATCATGACTTTTCATATCTTCATGGAGTGCTTAATACCCATTAAATTTAATACATTATCCGTTCCAATACTGAATTGATTAATTGAACTGAGTACTTTTAAAGAATTTATACTCTACGTGTTTAAATGTAGAGCTTTCGTGAACCATCAGCTAAAAATTCCAATATTTTGGTGCAAAGAAGAGATAATATTTCCTTCATTTTTTTTAACGTGATGAAAAACCTACTTATACATCTACCTTATGAGGTACAAGGTGTTAGTTATGTTCAATATCGATGTATGTACACATCTAAGAAATACATAATATAGATTTATCTTTTCTAAATTATTGGTTCATATTGATCATTTTAATAGGCAAATAATATTACAGATATTTAAATAAGATTAAAGGTCAATAAAAAATAAAACACATAGAAAGTTTCATTTGTGAAGCAGATTTGGCACACAAGATAGCACATTTATGTTTTCACACTTTGAACTGCATGTAAAAAGTTATAGAATAAAAGTTGGTCTTGATGCATATATGAATGTTGGATAGATAAGTCAATTATAATTATCACATTTTCAAGTTTGAGGCGAGGCATTAGGAAAATGCATGCCTAAATATCTAATGATAAAAATATGAAGTTTGTTACATTGTATATTCTCTTAAATTGCCCAAAAGTTTAGTCTTTCATCGATATATATATTGCCTACACATTTGAAGCAATTATGAAGTAGTTATTAATGTAATTGCTTTTTATGGACCTCATATAAGTGCAATTTATTTATAAGTTAATGTGGCTTTTGTTTCAAATTTATTTTAATAACATTCTATTTGCATTTATAGTAAGAAGCACAAGGAAGATAGCCTACTGCTCTAGAGCTTTCATACACATATGAATCAACAATAAGAAGATCAATAAGGGGTTGACCTCAAATGTCATATTGTTTAACAAGTTCAAACATTCAATGAAACTTATTATAATATGTAATTAAACTATTTATAAATTTTACGTACGAATTGAACCTTATTTGAATCATGTTCAAATATGATTAAAAGTTTTTTGAATATGAACAATTAATATTCAATTATGTTTTTAAAAAATGTTTAATCGTAGATTAGATTTTTATTGCATATGGTCTCAACCTTGAGTGAATTTTGTTCTAACCTTCTTTGAATATCATTTGAATCATATTTAATCGCAGTGAACTTAAGAAAGCAGATCAACAATTTAGAGCAGGGATATTTTGGTTCAAGGAAACTTTCGATCATATTTTCCTAAGAAATGAAATATCAAACATATTTCTTCAATTTCAAACATTATGAGACATACACTCAAATTTCTCTGATATAAATAATTATAAAGATTTATATAGCATATATTTAAAGATACAAATTCAAATATATGTGTATGAATTCTTGTGATTTCACAATTTATACATTGTTTTATATTTACCGCCTTAGCGTAAATAA